CCGATTTGTCCATCTGTGGCCAATGAAGAGTGAATTGCAGGGTGGAGGGGAGCGGAGTAAAGATTTCCTGTGTGCTGTTGCTGCAGGCGTCCTCCTCCTCCCCCACTCGTAGGCTTGCAATGAAAAAAAAATGAAAATCCAATTAACAAAGTAGACGCTGACACTAGTAAGACACTTCAGCGGATCAACGTAGCAAGAGTTTGAGCTGCCAAAAGATTATGAAGGCGGAGACGGAATACTCTACGTCCATTCTGCCGGTGGCGATTAACCATGAGCGATTTGTGAGGTGAATGCCTTACGCACACGGTGACGTCATCCTACTCACTGATCGAGATGCCATGGCTAACCGCTGCCAACACGAACCATCGACGCTCTTCCCTTCCGCCTCCCTCACTCACCTGGTCCTTACTCTGCCACCTCACACGATTCGACCTCACCTTAACCTTACGATTGCCCCAATAGGCGACGCCTCCCAAGTATGTGGCTTTCATTTCACCATCTCGCACACGATGATGGAGCATTAATTCCTCCTTGAGATTGCCTGCATCGGAATGGTCCATCAAAGTGGGAGTTGTGCTGACTTTTGTGAATTGGCAGACTTGATGGGGTGCAGATTCACTCTTGAGACGGTCTTGGAGAAATCGCACTTTTATTCACTCCCTTAGTCTACCCACGCCCGCTTTAAATACGGAATACGATTCGGTTGTTGATGGTGGTGCAGTTGGAAGGGAAGTGGAAAGCGCAGAGACCTCAACAACTGTTCAAGGCACACACATTCTTCCACATTTAGTCAACACATTTATGAGCCAGACTGCAATCATTGCGCACCTTGTTTGTGGATTAGGCGATCATGACAGCAGCACCGAAACTGGATGTTGTTGTCCAATTACAACTACAGAACTGACCTTACTTGCCACACGTGCAGCTGTTTGAACATTGCGTGCGTCAAACTAAACAGCATGGTTGGATTTGACCTGCGTTGCGCCTTAGTCAAAGCGTATTCGGTATGCGATGCATTCCTCCGTACCCTCGTTACCTGCAGGCGTAGAGCACAGACGTTTACACTGACCATAGAAATGTACACTCATGCAATCCACAGTGTGCTTTGCTACATTTCGCAGCTGCTTTGTACACTTTGGCGGCAATGTTTGTGGTTCCTGCAGCAACATGACTTACCAAACTAATTACGCGGACACGCCTCGGCATCGCCTCGTGGTGCCTCTTGAAACAAGTTGTCGTGGAGTGTTGGTGGATGCAGTAAAATCACATCCGTTCCCCTCACATGCACATTAGCATCCAGGAAGCATAACACGTGTCTCTGCTTTCCTCGTTTGGGCTGTCATTGGCACAAAGGACACAATTGTTGGTAACGATGAAATTCGCAGTCATCTGGGGATGACTCGCTTGGTCGGTGTCAACAGGAGGCATGTCAGTGCTTGTAGATGACTTGGCAACTGCATCGAAGCCCGTGACTTCTCCAAGCTGAAATCGCATCCCGTACTCCCGCTACCTCCTCCTCCTCCTACGCCTCCCAATCATCTGCCCATCGCCGAGTTAATCGCCTGCACATCCATCCCTGTTTCGCTCAGTTTGTGAAGGTGATGCAAAAGCTACTGCGTAACGAAAGCTTGCATTCGATAACACCGACACAACACGAATGCAGCAAAGACAGGCATGCGTTTTGTGTTTTAAAGGAAGTAAGATGGTGGTGGTGCAACAAGTAACGTCACTACCCTCCACTCTCATAATGCTTCTGTGCTACCCAACAGGATTACGCTCACTATCGACATGGCAAAGACGCACCTCGCAAGTACAGATGGCTAAATTGGAGGTGTTCAGCAAATTCTGTAACACCGCAGAACCGCTGCAATAACAGCTGGTGCTTATCGTTGCCTTGACCTCCGATTTAGTAAGTCAAAAACGATGTCAGATGCACAGTCTCTTGGGTCAACCACCGTCCACGTTTTATGCTACTGCAATCCACTCCATTTCTGTCAATTAGTCGATAATAACACGATCATCATGTTATTACACTGGCATTGACAGGACGAACACATCCCTCCACTCCCACTAGTAACCACAACAATTGGCTTAATGAGGACGCATGCACATGGAGGCGACTGCGACACAAGCATGCGAAAGGGAAACGGCATGTGCTATTGCAAAAATGATGGAAAGCACAATGTTAGAACCGGCAACCCGTCAACACTGAACGCATCCACCTCAGTACTTATGCCTACGCAGTGAACATGACTAAACGGAACGCATCAGCAAAATGCGTTCTCGCACAAGCAGTGTTAAGCAATGCTCGCACTCCACTACCACCACTGCGCAGTGGTGAGCGGACATGAGATGAAGTCTGTTGTGCGATCGCCATTAATGCAACCGCCTAACATTTGTCAACGAACCTCATTTACAAGACAAACCACACAAATTATGGCCACCGCAACGCTACCGCACTGCGTATCAGACCTTTCTGACGAACGTCCATCACTGAAAACGCAAATCACTTCATGCCTGCGTTACATCTACTTGTATACATGGTTTTACGACTATCAATGAACTGACACATGGTTCGCAGCATAGGAATGGTGAGTTGGTCCACAAGATTGCAATTTTCAGTGCACACTCCCTACGGATGCCAAACCTTGTGTTTGACACCCAATTCCTGCTTAGCTACGCTTATGTCAACACATTTATGAACGGCCGCAAAAGGAGAGACAGTTCACACCCGCTTTCGATCACCAACCCCGGCATCAGTCAGCGCATCCATCCACGCTATCCGCCTCTCTGCTCCTTCTAATGCTGCAGGTAGTAAATGCGCCCGTCATGCACAAAAAGACCTCTCGTGCGTGCAGTGGGACACGCCAGCATCCAAGGTAACGGCTGAGAAGGCGTGGGAAAAGTGTGAAACCGGTGCGAAACATTAGCCACATCTTATTTCGTGGTGGAGCACCACCTGAGGCTCGCATTTTTCAAAGGCAAAATGGAGTCGCAGTTGATGGCTTTCGTTGCCCTTGTCGCAGAGACAGGAGGGGCGAAACACAACCCATTGGATTTCTCACAGTGTCATGCCTTCTCGTCGACTTAACGTCAAACTGTTGTGGAAACACCTGACTTCCATCGGTCACTGGTCGACGCCGAGCTGGCTGAAGTCAACTCCAATATTTGGACTCCTAAGCAATTGCGTGGGTTTAGCTTTTCTCTCCTCATTCCATTCAAGCATACAAAGGTTGTGGTCGACTGAAACAGCACCTCCCACCGCTAGTGGAGATATTGCTTTGATGAAAGAGCAACGATTTTGTGCCTCCTACACCCACTCTTTCGCATTTGGCATTGAAAGTATTAACCTGGGCCTGCTGGTTTACCAAAAAACGCGAAACCACTTTAACAGGTGACCAGTACGTCTTCAGCAGAAGTGGTGAAAAGCACAGTCTTTGATAGGAACCCCGTTGGCTACCAGCGTCTTTGGTGTCCATGCCGACAGCACTGCCATCGCTACCACAGAAGCAGAGAAGTCGTTAGAAGAGTCTTTCAAATTTTGTTCAACAACGCTCCATCAATTCTTATCATTAACACACACCAAGCGGTGCATACAATCGGAAGGTCAGTGTTAACACAAAGGCATGC